ATAAGATTTAATGATTGAACATAAAATGATTTATGTGAAAAAGTATTCTAAAACTTTCCCTGGAAAAGATTTTGTTCATTAAAATATTTTTTTTTTTTTTTTTGAACTTTGCTTATATTTGTACTAGTTTTTCTTCTGGAAATGTAAACTATAAACTTTACATTAAGCAAGCAGGTAAACAAATCTAATCCACTCTGAAAGGAAGCTGTGTGTGCACTTCCGTTCATCAGGTGGTGTTTCTGGTTCACCCCCAGGACATTTAAGATGTTCTGAATTAGAAGTCTTTCCTGAACACACACAACCCACGTCCTCTCGCTCTCTCTCACTGTGTATTGTGCAGTTTCCGTTAATAGAGTAGAAAGATCATTGTGCTTTGCGTTGCCTGAAGCTGAAGACGCAGAGAAGGCCAAGAGCAATTTGAGTGGTTCAGCGTCGCAGCCAGACTAAGATCAGTGACCCAGTGTGTCTGATTAGTAACATGCGACCTGGGAAAGAAAAGCCTTGCTTTGAAGGGAAAAAAATGTCAAAAGAAGCAAGTAAATTGTGGCATAAAGTTAGCAGACTAAAGAAAACAAATAGATGCCCGCATCCACTTAGCTGGAAGCAGGTTGCAGAATAGTATCTGAGTATCTGCCGTATGGTTCCTTCTACATATTAAAAAAAAAAAAAAAAAAAAACTCACTACTGTCAAGTCAATCCAACTCATAGCAACTCCTCCTTGGGTTTCCGAGGTGGTATCCTTATGGAAGTAGATTGCCTAGTCTTCCTTCCAAGTAATGGCTGGTGGATTTGAACCACCAGCCTTCTGGTTAGCATTCCTTTTATATAGAGGAGTTAATATATGATATAAGTAAGTTGATAGCCAGAAGTCTGGCAAGATAAGCACCACAATTAATAGTTACTCTTACTCTGAGGACTAGTCTAAGGAAAGGTTTTAAAGAAGGTCTTTTTACTTGTTGCTATATAAATGTTTGTGTTATTTGAGTGCTTACAATGAGCAGGCAGTATACCAGCTGTTCACTCTGAAGGATGATGAATCCAAGATCACCAGGCCGAATGGTGGGTTGCTTGCTCACGGACAGTTGTAGGCAGCACAACAGGATCCAGATGCACAGGAGAGTATCTCACTTTCCCAGGATGTCCATATATGTATTGGAAGCAGACGCGCCCCTAGGGAAACTCCCTTTCAACACTTGGCTGCTCGAAACATATACATCCAATCTTATCATGGGAATAACCACATCACAACTGCTTAAATCACTCAGAATCGTGGTCCAGCCAAGTTGACACACAACCCCAACTATCACACCTGTTGATACATTATTTTTGAAATAGAAAAAGGAAAACTCAGCATACCTTAAAACCAGCCACATCCAGACGATGCCTCGTGGTGAAAGGCTGGGAGCGTTCCCATGAAGAACAACATTGCCCACTACCATCTATTTCTGTTGTTGTTTCGTTATTTTGGAATCTGGTGTGATTTATGAAAAATAAGTATTCTTAAATCTGGAAAAGAGATATAAATATTAGAAATAAAGAAGCACTATTACTATTTGCAAAGGATGGTATTATATGGTTGGAATACCCATGAGAATCAATTAATGTATGGAGTATTTTTATAATACACTTGGTTATATTATAGTTTTTCTTTCCAAAATTAATAGCCTGTTCTGACATTTACAGTTTTCAGGATTTTGATATTCAAGGGTCCAGAAGGTGCAGTTTGGACTGGTTGACAATAGAAACATATAAGAATATTGAAAGTTACAGAGCTTGTGGTTCGACGGTTCCACCGCCATACATCTCTTCACAAGACCACATCTGGATCAGGTTCCATTCAGATGACAGCGTATCTAGAAAGGGTTTCAGACTCGCATATTTTTCAGGTACGTTTTTAAGTTAAAAAAAAAAAAAAAGATAACTCAACTGAATTCTGTGGTATTAACTGCTCAGTTACTTTGAGGTTAGTTTTCTAAGCATTGTCCAACTTGGCTCTGCCTCAATCATCAAGGCAGCTGAGATTGAGCATGTTGAGGCTAAAAGTTCAGTAGACCTAGAGTTGGCTCTCGGAAGGAAGATGGGGCAGTCTACTTCCGTAGTGATACTACCTCGAAAACCCAAGGAGGGGTGGCTATGAGTCGGGTCCGACTCGATGGCACATAACAACAACAGGGTTGGGTTTCAGAAATATGTTTTTTTAATCTTTATAAAATAATTTATTTTATAAGCTAAGATCAGTATTCTTTTTAAATATCTTAAATATGTTTATTTTAAAAGTAAATGCTTTGCCCCTTAAGTGCTTACCCATATGCTGAAAATTACTTCAGAATGTATTTTTTGTGTGATTGATCATTGTCTATAAACCTTTTAAGAAAAAGGCATATATAGCCAGTTTTACCTTCATAGTTGATAGTCTCAGAAGTAAAAGTCTTTTGCTGTCCTTAAACTTTTATCTAAAGAGAGTAACTGCGTTGTACAAATGTAAATAATTTCGTGCATAAGAGTTATATTTTTTTGCTAAAATTACATTACATCTGAAGTTACATGGTCTACTTCAGCAAACATGCTCCTTTGTCTTATGAACGCTGTCTTACTTAGTTTCCGAAGCATATTTTCTGTCACCTATTTATCAATAAATGGCTTGTTAATTGAGAAATAAATACAAGCCTAACAGTGTCAAAATTTTGGGATTTCAGGGCTCTAACAACGTGCCCTGGTAGAGCAGTAGTTAAAGTACTTGACGGCTGACTAAAAGCATTTGAATTCACCAGCCACTCTGCAGAAGGGTGTGGTAGTCTGCTTCCGTAGTACAGCCTTGGAAACCCTATAGGGCGGTTCTGCTCTGCTCTTTAGGGTCACTGTGACTTGGAATCAGCTCCACAGTGGAGGGTATGGGTAGGAATCTAATGTTTGATTTTTTTTTGCTCCCCTCTACCTTATTATTGGGAGCTCTGGTAGCGTAGTGCCTAAGGCTCTTGACTGCTAACCAGAAGGTTGGCGGTTCAAACCCACCAGCCACTCCTCAGAGGGAAGATGGGGCAATCTACTTCCATAGTGATACTGCCTCGGAAACCCAAGGAGGGGTCGCTATGAGTCGGGTACGACTCGATGGCATATAACAACAACAACCACCTTATTATTGCTATATACTTAGAATGATACACAAGAGAACTAGAATTCTGTAGGAACTTCATTTTGCTGATGTGATGATAAAACAACAGAAACTACAGAATACGAGGATTGTGTTATGATTATTTGAAACAGCATGAAGTCATATGAATTGTTGAGTAATTAATATACCAGAGCAAATTTGTCATTAGAACTTAATGATTTTTTTAAATCATAAAATTTTTAAAACACCTGTCATTTGGGCTTAAATCAACTTTGATTATACAACTGCCACTCACTGGATTTAGTGAGTATTGTTACAGTGATGGGAAATTTAGCAACAGTTATGGGTGGTGGTTGTACGGCATCATTAATGCCATTGATGTCACTTAATTGTACACCTGAAAAATGTTGAATTGGCAAACACTGTGTTAATATATATATCAGGAGTGCTGGTGGTATGGTGCCTGAGGCATTTGACTGGTAACCAGAAGGTTGGCAGTTCAAACCCACCAACTACTCTGCAGAAGGACGATGGGGCAATCTACTTCTGTAAAGATTCACCACCTCAGAAACCCAAAGGGGATTGCTGTGAGTGAGTTGGAATTGGCCATGGCAGTGAATTTTGGGCTTTTTTTTTGTTTTGAGTGTTGTGTATATTTTTAGGGAAACAGAAAGAAATTTGCTTTTATATTACTTTTTAAAGCATGTATTTTTCTCCCCACCCCTCAGGGAAATCTGAGGAACCAAACTGTGCTTGTGATCAGTTTCGTTGTGGTAATGGAAAGTGTATACCAGAAGCCTGGAAATGTAACAACATGGATGAATGTGGAGATAGTTCCGACGAAGAGGTCTGCACCAAAGAAGCTAATCCTCCAACAGCTGCTGCTTTTCAGCCCTGTGCTTACAACCAGTTCCAGTGTCTGTCTCGGTTTACCAAAGTTTACACTTGCCTCCCCGAGTCTTTAAAATGTGACGGAAACATCGACTGCCTCGACCTTGGAGATGAGATAGACTGTGATGTGCCAACTTGTGGGCAGTGGTTGAAATATTTTTATGGTACTTTCAATTCTCCCAACTATCCAGACTTTTATCCTCCTGGAAGCAATTGCACCTGGTTAATAGACACTGGAGATCATCGTAAAGTCATTTTACGCTTCACTGACTTCAAACTTGATGGTACTGGGTATGGCGATTATGTCAAAATATATGACGGATTGGAGGAGAATCCACACAAGCTTTTGCGTGTGCTAACTGCTTTTGATTCTCACGCACCCCTTACAGTTGTTTCTTCTTCTGGACAAATAAGAGTGCATTTCTGTGCTGATAAAGTGAACGCTGCAAGAGGGTTTAATGCTACTTACCAAGTGGATGGTTTCTGCTTGCCGTGGGAAATCCCCTGCGGGGGTAACTGGGGTTGTTACACTGAGCAGCAGCGTTGTGATGGGTATTGGCATTGCCCAAATGGAAGAGATGAAGGCAATTGTACCATGTGCCAAAAGGAAGAATTTCCATGTTCTCGAAATGGTGTCTGCTATCCTCGTTCTGATCGCTGCAACTATCAGAATCATTGCCCAAATGGCTCCGATGAGAAAAACTGCTTTTTCTGCCAGCCGGGAAATTTCCACTGTAAAAACAACCGTTGTGTGTTTGAAAGCTGGGTGTGTGATTCTCAAGATGACTGTGGTGATGGCAGCGATGAGGAGAATTGCCCAGTCATTGTGCCTACCAGAGTCATAACGGCTGCTGTCATAGGGAGCCTTATTTGTGGCCTGTTACTCGTCATTGCACTGGGCTGTACTTGTAAACTTTATTCTCTAAGAATGTTTGAACGAAGGTCAGTGTCAAGACAAAACTATAGTGATAGTGGTTATGCTCTCAATAGTACAAAATATATATATATATATATATGTATATCTGCAACAGGTACATTAGAGTGATGAGCAATAATTTTTGTTTTATATTACAAGTGGGTAAATCTTATTTATAATATATAAAATTAGTGTGAAAAGCCCAGGACTCAAAAGGCTAAACACATTATAACTATAAATACTTAGAGGAAAGGAGCTCTGGTAGTGTAGTGCCTAAGGCACTTGACTGCTAACCAGAAGGCTGGCGGTTCAAACCCACCAGCTACACCTCGAAAGGAAGATGGGGCAATCTACTTCCGTAGTGATACTGCCTCAGAAACCCAAGGGAGGGGTTGCTATGAGCCAGGTCCGGCTTGACAGCACATAACAACAACAACAGCACTTAGAGGAAAACCAGTCTGTATTTACTAGTTTCTGTTTTTAGATTGATCTGTTTTATAGGAATTTTGCAAGCTGCAACTTTTAGTTGTCATTTTTCAGCCTGTGTTTTTATAAATATTAATCCAGTGATTTCAGATAAAAGGCATGATCTTACCAAAAAAACAAACAAACTCAATGCCATTGAGTCAGTTTGACTCATAGCAACCCCTTCTTGGGTTTCCAAGGTGGTACCACTGCAGAAGTATATTGCCCGATCTTCCTTCCGAGGAATGGCTGGTGGGTTTAAACCGCCAGCCTTCTGGTTAGCAGTCAGATGCCTTAGGCACTATGCCACCAGAGCGCCTATAATCTTATAAGGAGTTTACAATTTGGAAGAAGGAATTGTTGAGTGGAATAAGATAAAAATGTAAGTGCTGTAAGAAAACAAAGTTCTGTAAAATCAGATCCCTAATCCGATTGGGGTTGGGAGGGCTTTAGCTGAAGAGGCACCATTTGAAATGTACCTTGAAAAATTCATTGAATGTAAATAGGGAAAGATACTGTAGTAGAAAAAAATAGACTGAGCAAATGCGTGAAAGCAGCAGTGCCCAGTATCGTTCCTCAGAGAAGTAAGCACATAGTTATTTGGAGCCCAAAACACATATGAAGGCCTAATGGCAGGTAAGACTGGAACACAAGACTGCCGTCACGTTGTGACACCCAGCGAGAGTCATGCTTGAGATTTCCTCTCCATTCAGTAAGACGTGGTTAACCATTAAAGGATTTTTTTTGAGAAATGAATTCCCACTGTCGGAGCTGACCTGCTGGGTGCTGAGGGATGGATGAGCCTGAGAGAAGTTGATGGCAGAAAGGGTCCCCTGGGAGGGAGGCTGTTGGGGATACAGTGACCTTCCAATTTCAGCAGCTACAAATAATAGACATAACAAAAAGCTTACTTAGATTATTAAGACACAGAAGTACAATATCAGAATAATCATTCCTGCACCTTTTCTGTGGGCAAGTATAAAACTTTTTACCGCATTGCAGCATAAGAGCACAGTGAAGAGTTAGAGGCTGTAAGTTGAGGAACCAGCAGTTCCGGAAAGTGTATTCATGACTCATTTCACTCTTACCTGAAACATAATTGTGTTGGATTTGAATAAAGTGTATTCTAAGAGCTTTCAAATACTCTTCTAAAGTTTAGAGCCTCCTGTGACTTTAGGGATTTAAAGATCCAGTGTCTATTTCTCCCTCTTAAAGAGATTTCCAATTTATTGACACTTAGTGATCCAGGCTCCTACCACTGTAAAGCCCCAGGAAGACAGACTGCCTGCTTCATCTTTGTATTCCCAGCGTAGGGATAGTGTGGATGCTCTATAAATATTTGTTAAATGACTAAACTTTAAAAATGATTCAATATACTAACATGCAGATTATTTTGTTAATAATTTTTTAAAATACATTGTTTTGGGTTGCCTTTTTTTGACTTCTTGGTTTAACATTTTTGATTCCCCCTCTACTCTCAAAGATCATTTGAAACACAGTTGTCAAGAGTAGAAGCAGAATTGTTAAGAAGAGAAGCCCCTCCTTCTTACGGACAGTTGATAGCTCAGGGTTTAATTCCACCGGTTGAAGATTTTCCTGTTTGTTCACCTAATCAGGTATGCTGCAATTTATGATTTCTGTTTCAGTTCCTCTTAAAATGAAATTTGTACTTACATGTGGTAAAGCAGGGACCCTTGACTATGAATGTGTCAGAATTTTTGCAATCAAGTCAAGTGTGAAATATACAAAGGACTTGAAATTGTGATATGTATATGTATGGTTTGGGAGCTCTGGTAGCATAGTGGCTAAGGCACTTGACTGCTAACCAGAAGGCTGGCAGTTCAAACCCACCAGCCACTCCTCGGAAGGAAGATGGGGCAATCTACTTCCGTAGTGATACTGCCTCGGAAACCCAAGGAGGGGTTGCTATGAGTCGGGTCCGACTCTATGGCATATAACAACATATATATGGTTTAACACATACTACAGAATGCAAAAGTATACCTTTTGTTCCTTATTACTTATGATTTTAGTATGTGATTCTTAGACATTTTACTGTTAGATAGTTGAGTGCATTAAAATTCAGAGGTAAAGTTTGACAAATCATTTTCTACTTTAAATATTTAGAAGAAAGTTTATGAATGAATACTAAAATTAATATGTTAGGAATATTTAGTAACATGGTAGAGTAACCACTTACAAGTAAAAGTTATTGAAATGAAATTAACACTTGTACCTGATTTGAAGGAAAATTTCTTTACAGCTGGATTTTAAGAGTTCATACATTTCTTTAAATGGTAATTCAAATCCTTTATTAGTATTTTTTCAATGCCTAAAATCTGTCAAGGTTCATTTTAGGTATGTGTTTATACAGTTAAAATATACATTTTAAAAAATTGTTCCTGGTATTAGAGTTATGAAAAATTAATAAACATTATTTTGACAGTGACTTAATTCTGTTTAAAATGGAAGCCCATCTCCTTTTGAGTGAATAAAAGTTCTTTTCGATTACTATCTGTCATTTAATTTGAGTCTTTTAGACTTCTTTGGTAGCAGTTTATATTTTAAAAACATTTCTCTGAGTTTAAATTTGCTAATAACTAAATAGACAATCTAGCAGTTGGATTTTGTGCACAAAATAGGGAAAACATAAGTTGCAAATTTTTTTTAATATATTTTTGGCCCTACTTTGGTGCGGTTTCTCTTAGGTAAGAATACTTTTAGAAAGAATTCTACTTCAACCAAGTCTTAAAATATGTTAATGAATAGTAAAATAGATTTTATTCTGTTAATGAAATTAAATTCTCAAGTTTGAATTTTTGGTGACAAATTATCAAATTTCTGTAGCAGCTTTTCAAAAGAAAAATAATCTTTACTATCTTCAAAATGGAGCTCTGGTAGCATAGTGGCTAAGACACTTGCCTGCTAACCAGACGGCTGGCGGTTCAAACCCACCAGCCACTCCTCATAAGGAAGGTTGGGCAATCCTACTTCCGTAGTGATACTGCCTCGGAAACCCAAGGAGGGGTCGCTATGAGTCGGGGCCGACTCGACGGCACATAACAACAACAACAACAACAATCTTCAAAATAGGAGTGTTTTCTGCTTTTTTTAAAACTGAAGAAGTATGTAAAATGATTTCTAAAACATTCTTGAAACCCCTCATGGACTGTAATGTTAAATTGTCAATCTTCTAATTAAACAGACTTTCAGCCAAGTAGAGAGCTTCATCTCACTTTGACAGAGTATAATGGTGAAGTCAGCATTAAAGTGTGTTGAAGGCGTCAGTCATGTTGATGGGTGATAACACCCAAGGCTATCTGAAAAGCCCTTTGTTTATTGCTTGATTAGTAATATAGTGTGTGCCCACAAGGCCTTAGAGCTTGGATGCTGTTGAGGACCAAATGTATGGAGAAGTTCATAAGGGAATGTGAACCACCTTTGTTTGTTTGTTTGTTTAATTTGTGGTGGTTGATGTTGCTAGCCATTGCTGAGTCAGTTCTAACTCATGGTGCTTGTTAATTAGTGAATCATTTTACCATTCATATAGGAACCCATGTGTGCTGGCATACAAGCTGCTTCTTGGCACTCCTTTGCTAAGGCCAAATTATGAAACATTCCTATGATTGCGGCTTCTTAGCTTTCTATGAAATATATTCCAGGGATTATATTTGAAAGACTTACAAGAAATCACAAGTAAATGCAATGCCAGTTACAAAGAGGGATGGAGAGCACAGCCTGTCACATCTTCCTTATCCTCTTCCCTTCTTTTTTTGTGATGGGAAAGACAAGACATCAGTTTTGACAGGGGAAACTGTATTTGGAGAGTTTGTCCATTTGCTTATTACTGTCTGTCACTTTGAGTCTTTTAGAATATTTTTGCTAAGAATCTGTATTTTAGAAATATTCTCTGGGTGTAATTTGTTAACTGAAAATAATTTAAAAGGTCCACTGGTTGGATTTTGTGTGCAAAATAAGAAACACCTAAACCTTGACTTTTTTCTATTACTGTAATATTTACATTGTTTTTATATTCCTCGATTGGTGTGCAGAGAATCAATTCACCATTGTGTCCTAGAAATGGATTTTAAATATATGGCAGATTGCTGAAAGCTTTGTTTGTTCTAAGTGTGAATAATGCCTTTTATAACCACTAGGTGGTGCTGAAAGATTTTTTTTTTCTCTTTTTTTGTAAATGATTTTAAAAATAATCCATAAATTTATTCATGTAGAATAAAGAAAAGGTCTTTCTTTCAGCTGGATCATCTGTATTTTTTAGTGGGTTTCATGTATGCCAATTAAAGATCACCAGTTTTCACCAGTTTTCACAGACTAAGGGTAAGAGAATTTATACTTAACACTAAGGTTGTAGAAACTTTAAAATCTTTGAAGATTGAGAGGGAATCCACCTCTCAAAATACCATTGTATGGTGTTCTAAACTAAATCCTTTACCTTTTCTGTTTTTTTGTTTTCTGTGCTCTCTTAAGAAAAAACATCTTTATTGGTGACAGTGGAAATAAATCCTCAATATTCATTTATTCAACAAATCCTTGAGAGCAAACTTTGAAAAATACTTTTCACATGTTTAGGAATAGTTTCAGCCATATTAATTAAGTCTAATTTGCTCTTTTTTATTATTTATTTTTAAAATAAGTCACGTTTTATGTATAAACTTTCCCAAATCTTTCATTAATCTCTGATGAACCATGTTTGTATGGAATAACATTCATTGGGGGGAGGGGGCTAAACTGAGATGTGAGCTGCTATTCAAGAGATGAAATTTATAGTTTAAGTCTAAGCAAGTTTAATTATATGCTAAAACAAAAGAAATTAACACTCTTTGTAGGCATATAACAGAATGTGTAATGTAATATCTATAATGTTCAAGATATAAGCCAAGTTTTCTCAACATACAAATGATGAGGTAATTGAGGAAGTGAGGATTTGGCGTAGTCAAAATAGGATGAGATTACAAATGCCAGTGCAAGGACTAGCCTGGTAAGGGTGCAGCATTACACTTCCCCTGAGGGATGTTTGAAAAAGACTTTTAAAAAAAAAGAAGAAAAGAGATGATAATATAGCATTTTTATAACTATTTTTATGTTTTTCTGACTACATATGCAATTCAGTACCCTTTAAACAACTGAACACTGTAAAAATTTAGAAAAAGGGGAAATGAACTTCTCCCAAAATGGTATCATCTCCTTATAGATAGTTGCTGATAAAATGTGAGCATCACTTCTGCATTTTGCCAGGCGTGCATCATCAGACATAATTTATTGGTATTTAATACAGATATGATCATATTATATGTACTGTTCTTTCTTTGCCGTGATTTGTCAATTAGGTGTAGATCTCTTTATAATAGCTCTATGTCAAGCCCCATTACATAGATACTCCAGATTCTGTGCTGAGAAATTTCATAAGATGAACATTTAAGTTATTTGTGTATTTTTGTTATTATGTTGTTGTTGTTGTTGTGTGCCGTCGAGTCGGCCCCGACTCATAGCGACCCCTCCTTGGGTTTCCGAGGCAGTATCACTACGGAAGTAGGATTGCCCAACCTTCCTTCCGAGATACTCTAATTAATATGTTTATTTCTGTTTCTTGCTTATATTGATATTTTTATACAGAGATCTGGTGGTACAAGGACATTCTAATTAATATGTTTATTTTTGTTTCCTGCTTGTATTTATATTTTTATAAGGAGACCTGGTGGTGTAGCAATTAAATGCTTGGCTGCTAACCAAAAGGTTAGAGGTTTGAGCCTACACAGTAGCTCTGCAGGAAATAGACCTAGCAATCTGTTCCCATAAACACTACAACCTAGAAAATCCTATGGGTCAGTTCTACTCTGTCACATGGAGTCGCTGTGAGTTCAGGAAAAGATTGACTCAGTGGCTTCTGGGAGCTCTGGTAGCGTAGTGCCTAAGGGCCTTGACTGCTAGCCAGAAGGCTGGTGGTTCAAACTGAGTAGCCACTCCTCAGAAGGAAGATTAGGCAATCCACTTCCGTAGTGATACTGCCTTGGAAACCCAAGGAGGGGTCACTACAAGTTGGAAATGACTCAACTGCAATGAGTTTGTTTTTTTTTTGTTCAGTGGCATCTAACAACAGCATGGAATAAATTCAAGAACTGGACTGAAGAGGAAAAGTTGATTATACATCAAAAACCCTGATACAATCCATTAAGAAACAAGAAAATCCATCCACTGCGTATATGAGTGCAGGGCTGTATCCACAGCTTGAAGCCAGTGGAGACATTATAGGGCAATGCAATATGACATTAATCTTACAGTATAAATTTCTAAAAATCATAATACTATTTTTATCCATTTCCCTCTACATCCTTAGATAGCTTCTGGATGTTCCATAGCTAATGATTTGTGAAAATGTGATAGCTGGCTGCAAAGCTAATCTTGCTGCTGTCCCACGGGCCTCCTTGTTCTTTTATCTGGAGGCCATGTTAAGTTACTAAAGACAACTCTTTGAAAAGAAGAGTAGGGTACCACAAATACCACAAATCTGAAAGTATCTGATTGTATCACATTGGCCTCAGTGGGAAAAATACATACTTGTTCAAAAGTCTGCAGTTGTAGTTTTGGTAAAGTGGACCAAAGTTGCAAATGGAATTCGGGATATTTTTCCTGTGTTCGCAAATTAACTTACTGATTCATGTAGCCATTATGATCTTGCCAATCTCTGTAAAATAGTTTTTCAAAACTGAAGTTGTTTTCGGGGAGAGGGGGCGGCTAAATATTTGGATTTAGTTTAATAGCCAGATAGTTTGGACAGCTATTTAATAGTTTTGAGCATTTATTCAATGAATGCCCCCCTCCTTACATATTTATGTATTTATTTATTTTTGCATTGTTCCCTCCCCTCTCCTCCTACCCCTGGTAACCTTCCATATATAAACCGTAATTTGCTCTGTAGTTTTACAGAACCATAATGGGCCTGGATTTTCACAGGCCTTTTAGCTCAGTAGTGAATCACGGTGGAGGTCTTTTACCTTCCCAACTGTAGAAGTGTCAAATGATTTTATTTTCTAGCCTTGGTACGCTTTCAGGATTGACTCAGTTTCAGGGGCAAAAGAAGTATTTTGTGCAATTTTGAAACAAAATAGCTGTTAGAATTGACATTAAATATCTCAAAGGTACATGTCCAAAATGAAGTGTCAAGAAAGTCTTAAACGCTGGGAGTAGTGAGTCAAATTACAGATGAGATTCTGTAGTGGAAAGAACCTCTGTAGATGAGGGAATTTAATTCCTTCTCCCTAGACCCTGACAGGGAGCTCTGGTAGCGTAGTGGCTAAGGCACTTGACTGCTAACCAGAAGGTTAGTGGTTCAAACCCACCAGCCACTCCCTGGAAGGAAGATAGGGCAATCTACTTCCGTAGTGATACAGCCCTGGAAACCCAAGGAGGGGTCGCTATGGGTCGGGTCTGACTCAACGGCACATAACAACAACAACAAGACCGTGACAACCATGCGTAATAGAACTTCACCATGATACACCCTAATCACCCAAAACCGAATCCACTGCCATCAAGTCAATTCCCACTCCTAGTGACCCTACAGAACAGAGTAGACCTGCCCCGTGGGTTTCCAAGGCTATAATCTTTACGGGAGCAGACTGCCTCAACCTTCTGCCATGGAGTGGCTAATGGGTTTGAACTGCTGACCTTTTAGTGACCAGCTGAATGCTTTAACCACTGTACCACCAGAACTCCACATTCTTAATAGAGGGTATTTGTCATCTAAATACCTTGTTGTTAGCCACCTTTAAGCTCTTTTCTTATTTTTGTAGGCTTCTGTTTTGGAAAACCTGAGACTAGCTGTACGATCTCAGCTTGGATTTACTTCAATCAGACTTCCAATGGCAGGCAGATCCAGCAACATCTGGAATCGTATTTTTAATTTTGCACGATCACGTCATTCCAGGTCATTGGCTTTGGTATCAGCAGATGGAGATGAGGTTGTCCCTAGTCAGAGTACCAGCAGAGAACCTGAAAGAAATAATACTCATCGAAGTTTGTTTTCCGTGGAGTCTGACGACACAGACCCAGAAAACGAGAGGAGGGCTTCCGCGGGAGCATCTGGTGGGATTGCGGCCCCGTTACCCCAGAAGGTCCCTCCCACGGCAGCAGTTGAAGCAACAGTGGTGGCATGTGGCAGTTCCTCGACTCAGAGTACCCGAAGTGGTAATACAGATAATGGAAGGGATGTGACCAGTGTGGAAGCCCCAAGTGTCAGTCCGGCACGTCACCAACTCACAAGTGCACTAAGTCGTATGACTCAGGGGCTCCGTTGGGTACGTTTTACATTAGGACGATCAAGCTCCGCAAATCAGAACCAAAGTCCTTTGAGACAACTTGATAATGGAGTGAATGGAAGAGAAGAAGATGATGATGTTGAAATGCTAATTCCAATTTCGGATGGAGCTTCAGACGTTGATGTGAGTGACTGCTCCAGACCTCTTCTCGATCTTGCCTCAGATCAAGGACAGGGGTTCAGACAACCACTTAATGCAACAAACCCTGGAGTGAGGCCAGCTAATCGAGATGGCCCCTGTGAGCGCTGTGGTATTGTCCACACTGCTCAGATACCAGACACTTGCTTAGAAGCAGCACTAAAAAATGAAACGAGTGATGATGAGGCTTTGTTACTTTGTTAGGTATGAATCAAATAAGAGAGATTGTATTCAAGTTGGAGCAATATCCATTCATTGTTTCGTAATTTACAGTTAAACTAGTTTTAGTTTAAAAAGAAAAAAGATGCAGGGCGATTTCTTCGGATGCGTTAGCCTGCATGGTTAAATTAAGTACTCCTTGTAACTCTATAAACTTTAGAGTTTACTGTTTTAGCATCTGCCAATACATTATGTATTCATATTGTTTAATGATGTTCTTCCATTTGTTTCTAATTGTTTTTATTCTGGTACTATAGTTCACAGTAGACATATGGCTGCAGAAACTCATTTGACCGTCAGTTTATCTAACCTATGTTAAAAGGTTTGTTTGTACGATATAATATCTTTTAATTGAACCCTTTATGCTTTGCCAGCACACCTTGAAACTTAATCTACTAGATGTTACGGTTGTTAATGTATAAAAGAAAAATCTTATACTCGCTTGTGTTTTTATTTATATAACATTTGTCTAAATATTATTGGATTTCATCACAATATGAACTTGTCAGAGGGAGAAAATACCTTTCTCTTAGTAGTTTTCTCTTCTGTTTAACATGCAGTGATGTGAAATTTAGATAGATAAATCATTGGCAAAAAACAAAACTTTTATAGATTTTCTAAGATTGACTTTAATATTCTAATATGGTATAAACCAAAAGGTAAATTCCCATCATTTCTTTTTTCATCTCTACTTAGGGATAGAATTAAGTGGATGAAGATATTCTACTATGCATTAAATCTTGAACTTTATAAAATATGTACAAAAATTGTACACGTGAAGCTCCAGCTGGTAACGTCTTTCCCTGGTACAGGGTTAACGCGTGTCTTGAACCCTAGGGATTTGCACTAAAATCTTATCAAGATCTCAGATGAGTTTAGTGCATAAGCACTATCACTTTAAATACTATTATTTGCTACCACAATAACTATATATTTCCATAGCTTTTTTTCTTGGGGGGGGGGGATGCATTTTTATTACAACTTTAAATTGCTTTACTGGTTTCATATTTATTTGTTGTATTTAAAGACTGCATTATTGTAAGAAAGTGATTTTTTTTTCCCAATGTATTTTATTCATTTTTTTGTGGGGGGGTGTCTCATACTAATGCTGAAGAAAAGCAGATCAAGGAAGCGTTCAGCTCACCACCACCCCCTTTTGTTAACTAGTGTGGATTGCAAAACCCTGCCTGTTTTTTGTATTGTCAGTTCCTATTTATTTATTCTGTAGTTGTCTGTTTTAGTAGGCTAATGACTGAGTATGAAAAATGTATTTGTGTGTGATTATTGCTATTTATTAAATTTTAAATACTTTGCTGAATGTCATTTTAAAGCATGTTTGAGGTCTTGTGTATTTGTTGTGTTATGCTGTCAGGAAGCCTGACTAAAATGTTTTAATATGTATCAAAAATTAAAAAGATTTTTTTTATATTGCCTTGAGGTACTTTTTAAATTATATTTGCTCCTGTTTTTGTTGAATTTTTGTGCATGTGAAAATTCAGTCTGTAAAATATGCTATAAAGTGCAGGCTCTCGGGGAGAAGACTAGGCTCCAAGTCCAAGTTCAGAGTGCCAGCTCGAGGGGTTGGGTGGAGGCCTGTCAACCTTGTGCTTCAGCTCTGCCTTCAAGCCCCACTCAAGCAAGGTAGAGGCTTCTCCTGACTCATACAGCTGCTGGCAGCTTAGGCAGACACATCTCAGATTGTTGACTTAAGGCTGCAAAGACAGTAATCTCAAGATTGGCAGGCAGCACACCAAGCCACGAGTTCAAGTACAGGAACTGGAGAGGAAGATGGGCCAAATGCACGCTCCAAAATGAACCATAAAGCTAGAGACCTTTCCCAAAGCTGCTTCATATATACTAGAAGCAGGCCACACCCTAAGGGCAACTCTCCTTCAACTGATTAACTGCTCCCAGCAGCTTCCACTATGGAGGTGTTTACACCAGTCCAATCTCATGGGGAGTAACTATATCCAGCTGCCAAGCCACTCAAAATCATGGCCAGCCAAGTAGGCACGGAACTACCACATTGGAGTATCTTGTAAGATGCAATATTTCAATTAGTTCTCTTTTTATATTATTCTCAGATACGTTTCAGATCCCTATATTCTGGCAGGATTCAGGTTATCAAGTTAAATTTCTTTAGATCCTACAAATAATATGCTATCATATGTGGAGGTAAGGGCTTGTTTTATTTACTGTTACCAAAAACCAAACTCACTGCCATAGAGTCGATTCAACTAGTAGTGACCCCTCCTTGAGTTTCCGAAGCAGTATCTACAGAAGTAGAGTACCCAGTCTTCCCTCTGAGGAGAGGCTGGTGGGTTTGAACCTCCAGCCTTCTGGTTAGCAGTCAAATGCCTTAGGCACTATGCCACCAGAGCTCCCTTACTTACTGTGAAGTGTTTTATTTTTTAATTAAGTAATACATTCCGGTTCCAAAAGTAAAAAGTCTACCACTGATTCTCAGTCTTTTAGTTCCCTTTCAGGGAGACATGCCAAATTCTTGACTGTCCCTACAGAGATTACCACATGCATACATAAAAGTATCCATGTATATAAATGCCATGTATAATAATGCTAATTGCAGCATGCTATAAATATTTTTCACCATTTTTTCCAAGGAAAACACTGGTATCTAATTAGTTAAATATTTCAAGTTGGATATTTCTCTTGTTTGATTTTCATATTTAAATCATTGATCCATCCTGAATTTAGGGTTTCACTTTTTTTTTAAGTGGCCACCTAATTATCTCAAAGCTATTTATTAAGTAATCCATTCTTTCCCTGCTAATTTGACATGGCACTTTTATTTTATAATAAATTTCCATGTATGTTTCCAGATCTGTTCAACTGATCTACCCTTTAAAATAGGTTTCACATACTCTTTTTATTTGAACTTTAGAATTAGCTTGCTGACTTCCACAAAACAAATCCATCGCTACGTTTTTTTTTTCCCTAAGCTGTTTTAAATTTTTTGATTAGGGACATTTGACCTTGTCATATTGAAGCTGTCTAAATCATGGTGTCCATTTGTTCAAAGTCTTCTCATTTCCTTCAGAAGTGTTTTAAATTTGACTTAGAATATATGTTTTTAAAGTTTATTCTTAGGAATTCCCCCTCCTCTTTTTTTGTTACCATTATTAACAAAGTTCTTTCTGCTACTTTATGATTTAACCTGATTTTAGTATATATGAAAACTATATTGGTAGCATAGTGCCTAAGGCACTTGACTGCTAACCAGAACGCTGGTGGTTCAAACCCATCAGCCACTCCTCGGAAGGTTGGGCATTCTACTTCCATAGTGATACTGCCTCAGAAACTCAAGGAGGGGTCACTATGAGTCGGATCCGACTCGACAGCACATAATAACAACAATATATATGTTAGTTTTGTACCACCCACCTAACTCCATTTTCTTATAATTTGTACTAATATTTCAGTTAATTTCTTTAGATTTTCCATCTATGCACTCATGTCTGTAAAAAGTGATCACATAATCTTCATTTCAATTTGCATACTTTTTGTCTTAATTGCATTGTCTAGTACTTCAAGAGTATGTTAAGTAGCATTGGCTATAATGAACTGAGGTGAGATGCGTTTAATGGTGTTAAAAAATGTATCCAATGATCCTTATTTTTTAGGAAGTTTTTCATCAAGATTGCTTGTTGAATTTTATCATATATATATGCCTTTTCAACATCTATGGATGATGCAGTTTTTCTCTTTAGATCTTTTAGTATGATAAAGGTTGTTTACGTATTTTGTGATTTTGGCCCATCCTTAGATTCCTGAAATAAACTCAGCTTGATCACAGTTTATTTATTATTTGCTAAATTGTGTTTCTTATTTTATTTAAGGTATTTGCATCTGTATTCATCAGTGCGCTACATCTATAGCTTTCAGTTTTGTACTCTGAGTTTTGTTGCCAATTCTTTGCTGATGTTTTAAAAAGGATTTGGAAATATTCCTCTTTTTTCTATGCACTGGAACAGTTTAAATAGCATTAAAATTATCTGTTCCTTAAAATTTCAGGGAAATTATCTGCACTTGGTGGATGTTTGGGAAGCTCTTTGACAAATTTTTGGTGTCTTCTGTGGTAAGGAGGAGCTCTGTGGCACAGTGGTTAAAGCATTTGGCTGCTAACTAAAAGGTTGGCAGTTTGAACCCCCAGCCAGGAAAGATGAGGCAATCTGCTTCGGTAAAGATTTACAGCCTTGAAAATCCTACAGGGCAGTTGCTGACTGCTAACCAGAAGGCTGGTGGTTCAAACCCACCAGTCACTCCTCAGAAGGCAGGTTGGGCAATCTACTTCCCAACATACAGGTAATGATACCGCCTCAGAAACCCAAGGATGGGTTGCTATGAGTCGGATCTGACTTGACAGCAGTGAGTTTGATTTGGGTTTGGTAGGGTCATTAGGTGTCGAAAATGACTTGATGGCAGTGGATTTCTATGGTAATGGGTACATGTAGATTTTCTATCAGAAATCACCCATTTTGTCCAAGTTTTCCAGTGTATTTGTCCATAATTGAATTAAGTTATCTCTTCCTCTTCTAAATATACAGCCCTTTTCCCGTTACTGTTTCTTATTGTGTATGTTTCTTATTTTGTATTCTGCTTATTCCCTTATTTCTTTAAGATAAACAGTTGACTGGGTTTTTAAATTATGTATGTTGTTTGTCTTCCCCAAAGTGCTATACCTTGGATGTCTCGCTCATCTTTTTGTTTTCTAATTAATTTCCACTTAAATAAGTATTCTCCGTTTTTCTTTATTTTGTTGTTCTTTGCCTAACTCCTTTAGTTGGCCATTTGATTTATTTACATTTATTTCCTTTTGATTGCTAACATGAGATTTAATGAAAAGAATTCTGTGCACTGCTTAAACTTCATCACCTATAGGTTGTTAACACTGGCGTTGCTGTTACTTCCTAGGTGGTGGGCAGTTCAGTTTCAATTTCCTCTTTGACCTCAACAGCCGTTGCCAGCGAGTTCATCCTGACTCATACTCGCTGTGAATCTTTGACCTAATTGTTGAATGAGAGAGCTCTGTTGGGTTTGTTTTACTTTGTTTGTTTCAGGGTTTCTCATGTGGATGGTAGTTTTGTTTTCTGATTCTCATTAATTTCCATGTTTTGACACCAAAATCAGAGACTGTTACCTGTATTACATCTACTTTAAGGAATTTATTCTCTTTTCTCACTTTTTTAAATGTGCCAGGAGCATTTTTTAAAGTGCATTTTAAGTTTTTAGGATACAGATTTTAATTGCTAATACTTGGGTTTATGTGCTGTCGACCTTGCATATTAACACTTGGTTTTACCAGTCTGTCCAAGCTCCAGTGTTGGTATGGGAGAGAACTGAGAGCCTGGTAGCATAGTGCCTAAGGCACTTGACTGCTAACCAGAAGGCTGGCAGTTCAAACCACCAGCCACTCCTCAGAAGGAAGGTTCGGCAATCCTACTTCCGTAGTGATACCGCCTTGGAAACCCAAGGAGGGGCCGCTATGAGTCAGGTCTTGACTCGATGGCACATAACAGCAGTAGGGCCAGCAGCCCCTGCCTTAGCTCGTGTTAAGCACAGAATGAAGAGGAGTCTTTCTGGAAGCTACTCAGGTTTTTGTTGCTACTCCTACCACTACCACCACCCACTGTTGAACCTGAAATATGAGTTCGCCAGGTTAAAAGGGATAAAAGTGCATTCAATTCACTGGCTAATTACTGAGTACTTCAGTGAAGACTGGGCAGTCTACTTCCATAGAGGTACTGCCTCAGACACCCAAGGAGGGCTTGCTATGAGTCGAATCAACTCAACGGCAGTGCGTTTCTTTTTTATTTTGGCTTCCACTGCAGCAGACCCAGTACTGCTTACAGCAATGCACGCTACTGCTGCGCGCCAGCCAAGCTACTTGGTAATTCTCTTCTTTGCCCCAGAACTCCAGCAGAAGATGACAGCAACGTCTTAGGCCCTGTTACAGTCAGGTCCCTGTTTAAAGACAGAGAAGCAGGCAATAGAGTTCTTAGACTGTCTTATCTGAACCCATTCGGGAATAGCATAGAAATTCCAGCCTGTATGTGGATAATGGTGTGGAGTTGAACTTGGCCGTGACTCCATTTTATTCTAAGGTGCTCAGTATTTGGGGTGGTAGAAGGAGGAGAGTACAATTCACAGAAACTTTGAGCTGGAAGGGAACTTTACAAATAAGGAAATAATATAATGAATAAGCAATTTTCTAGATTCAAAGAAACCTGTGTTAATTATGGACTCAGATATGTATACATACATGTACACATAAGGAAATGAGCCCTGGTGGCGCAGTGGTTAAGCACTCAGCAGCTAAGCTAGAGGTTTGTGGTTCGAACCCACCAGCTGTTCTGCAGGAGAGAGACCTGGCAATCTGCTCCTGTAAAGATTACAGCCCTGTACAGCAGTTCTGCTC